CATCTACCCTGAGTATAGCTCGACTCTCACAAATCTAAAAATATATACAGTCAAAAGCTATGCGTAATTGAACACTGGAATGCAATTTGCAGATCCACCTGGGCAGTGGGCCGTGTACAGCTGTGGGCAGTGCTGCAGCGATGCCAAAAGACAGTACCATCACTGGGAATAGCAGGACCCCAAAAGCAACAGCCCTGACACTCAGGCAAGGACTAGTTTTCCCTGCCAGCTTTTGCAAAGATTTTCAACACCATTAGACAAATCTTTGGATAAGCTTATAGGTTTCATATCAGTCTGGGGTTTGCAGTGTGGGGAGTGACAGTCACAATGCATGGAGAGAGGACACAAGCAACTCTCACACATTCACCCTTTATGTCTATTATATACATACAAGAATTTCTTTAGTAGTTCAGATGTTACAGAGTTAGTGACATCAAGCATCTTTCCAAAGATGTTCACCCTTGTTGGAACTTGTTTTCCTTTATGCGTATAGGAAGTGGACAAACATGTATAAGATACAGCTGAAGCACTGCTCTCTCATCCTTTCTCTGCTCTCTCCTTCAAGTCCCCAGCTACTGTGAGAAGCTGGCTGCTGCATGCCTTGGCCATGAAATGGGAGGATGGTGAGAGGACTGTAATGGGAGGGATGTTATGTGACCGGCAGATAAGTATTACATGGCACAAATGCTAGAGGGGCTGCCTGCTATAGAGCCAGGGCTTGCAAAATTGCTAATGTCCACCAGGATATCTTGTCTCTGATGTTATGTGGAAATAATTGTTCTACTCTATAGCAGTCTGCAGTTTTTGGCACAGATGGGGCCCTCCAGCTTTACGAGAACTAGGGCAGAATGTTGTGGCCTATCTCTCTGCACAGCGATTCTGCTGGAGGTGGATGGCTGGAGATGCATGGCACTGGCAGTCTGTAGGCATGGGGCAGTAGCAATACAGACAGCCCTCCACACTGGTTCATACAGCAGCTCAAAAGTGGGAAGTGTTGAAAACTGTTATGCTATGCTCTCATGGGAGTGAGGCATTTTCAAGACCTTTTCGTGTTCACTCCAAAACATTTTTTTTTCTGAATAAAATACCATTATGAGGTAACTTTGTAGTTCATCGACCCAGTAATGACACAGAGCTTCTGACTTACACATGATTCCCCTTGTTTAAAGAATGAAGTAATAAAATCCCTCTCCTGACTGATAGATTAAAAACAGTTCAACATATTAGTTGAGTAAGGGCATAGATTTTACCTTTTCTATTCAAAACCAATGCTACGGAAATTTACAAAGTGTATCAGCATAATATAAAACCCAAACTTCTCTAATTTACTTTCTTCAATTACAATCCCTCAACTGTACATCCTAAAAGACAAAAAGAAGAGTAAAAAAAAAAAAAAATTTTCAGCTCCAGTATATTTTTATTTTTTTTGACTTAGGTCATAAAGGTCATTAATGGGTGTTTGTTTAAAAGCAAAAACAATTCTTTTGCATTACTGCTATTTGCCAAGATAGAAGTAGTACTTGGAGACAGAAATAAGTCAGAAACAACCAGAAATTAAGGTAACCTGTCCAAAATTAATTAGACAGTTGTCTAAATTAAAAATATCTGACTAAACCATGTTTTTGGTGTCATGCTGCCAGTTTAGCAGCTACAAAACACACTGTTATGTATAGTATGGACTCAAGTTATTTGCTCAGACTTTTCCCTTCACAGATTTGACTTATTGCTGTGATGTCGGTTTGCTTTTGAAAGATCCCCTCTCCACTGGACCAAGACCAGCTGTAGAAGTGTCTGAATGAACTAGTGAATTGTAGTTAGTTCTACCTTCATTGTGTATTTCCATAACTTGAAATATAAAACTTTCATTCTCTTTTGGAAAGCTACATCTCTTGAGCTATAGCAGCCACATTTTTAGATGTCTTTCTTCCTGTTCATAATTCCTAGATCCCAAGGGTCCCCTAACTATTAAAAGTTTCTATGCTTTCAAACTGTGTTTGCCAAGATATGGTCATGCTGGCAATCTTGGAAACAGTAAAGGCCACTTGAAGGCTTATTTTTGGTCTATCCTTGTTCTCATTCTTTCCTCTTCCCATACTGTCTTTTGGCCTGGCAGATAGGGTCCCTTTAGTCTTTCTCAGGGAGGAGAATGTGAAGACTCATCATGGTACCAGAAAGAGGGAAGAAAGCAGTAGCAGGTAATACTGAGCATCAGTGTAGAGCCCTGTGTTTGTTGCAAGTACTAAAAGCATTCAGGTGAATTTTTAAATTATTTTTTTAGGCTCCAACTGCAACATCTTTGAAAGGCTGACTAATATGTGCCAGACTCTTATTTTAGAAATAAGTGACAAAACAAATGGTACTGGAAATCAACACTGCAAGTCTTCAACTCAATATGAGTCTATTTAGCTTATGAGAAAATATTTTTTCTTTCCTACTCCCAAATTTACTCTTTTTGTGCCTATGTTTCTGTTAATCTGTTTTCAATGAGAAAAAAAAAAAAAAAAAAATATATATATATATATATATATATATATATATATATAAATGTGTCAGGTGTCTTATGAAACAGAAATACATTGTTCTGTATTATAACTAAAGTGGTTCTGTTGAAGATAGTTTCACTTCACAACATGCCTGAGGTCTGTCAGGTCTCAGGTCTATTGAGAATTTAACCATACTGCCATCCTCAGAATTCAGCATTGTAGTGTTTCTATTACAAGTTGGTGGGGTGAAAACATGCTGTCAGACTTACCTTGAACTAATTCTAGTCTGGGGAAAAAAAAAAAAAAAGTCTTACACAGAGGAAAGAGTAATTACTTCTATTGTCTTATTTTTCAGAGACTGTGTGGTAGTTTTGTCAAAAATTGAAAACAATATTAGTGAAAGATGCTAGCAAAACTCAGGAGAGAGACAAAAAGAGAAAAGGTGTTTCTGAAATAAGTAAAAATATCACAATAGAAGAAGAATAAGATGGCCTTTTAACCACTATTTTGGCATAGATCTCAATGTAACACCTGAAAAATTGCCATTAACTGATTGACAGATTTCCTTTGTTTGACTTCAAAATTAGAAGAAAATATTCCTTTTAGTACTCCATTCTACAACCATCTCTTTCAGTGTTAGGAAGCAGTGTTTTCTGGAAATATAATAGCAACATACATACAGCTGTATTTGTACTCAATGTGTATGAAAGCACAGTAACAGTAACTTCCAAAATGTTCAAGTTGTATTAGCAATATGCCTAGCAAAGCTCCAGACAGATTAAATAATTCTCTCACATTGTGCTACAGGAATTTGAGAAGAGACATATACAATTTAGATTACTTAATCAAAACCAGCTTTGAATATTAGCCTTAGGAAATAATGAAGCAAAATTATGTTCTGATTTCCTGACAAGAAGGAGTTACAGTCTACCTGGGAGTACCTTTCCCACACAATTAAAAAGAACAGGTTGCACCTTGCAGTTCTGCCAGAAGGCACAGTCACACTGTCCATAACACACATAACAATTTAATGTGATGAGTGAAAGGAATATCAATCAAACATAAACATCAAATCTACTGTAAATTAGATTATTTTTTTTTTTGGTAGGGTATCTATCTGTATCATCTGGGAATGTCTATATCAGATAAATGCCTCTAGGAAATTAATTAATTAAATAAATAAATAAATAAAGCCACAGTGGATTTAAAAGTCCTATGAAATGTTATATTGTGCAGAGATTGCCAAATAAAATGACAGGCAGAGAACCAGAAAAATAAAATTCAGAAATAAAAGGGAAACTTAATCACTGTCAATGGCAACCATTGAAAATTGATAAAGGAAGGCTTCAAGCTTTTGTGTTTTGTGGGTGCAAAATATCTGGAGCTAAAAATGTATTCAAGACTGACCAGAATAGGGGAACTGAAAACTCTGGCTGACATCCAGGAATTAATGCAGTAAAGACAAGTCCTGAGAACATGTTAGCTCATGCAGAGTTAAGGCATAGAGGGAGAGAAGAGGAGAAATGGAGATATCGGGAGGATGAAACAGCATCACACAGTTATGGATGGCAGTTTCCTTAACTATTCCAGATAGAGTTACAAGATTTTGTCAATCTGCATCTTCGTGTAAAGTCTCGCATGGATCCACTGTAGTTATTGAGATACTGCAGTCAGGTAGGGCAAGCAGTATGGAGCTTGTCTACAATAGGCACAATTTTGGCTACAGCTGTTACATACTCCAGGTTTTGCCAGCTCAAACCATGTGTAGGTTATAACAATATACTTCTTGTTGTTTTAAAAATAGCAGTTGGATGATGACTATCCTTAAAGTTATGGGATCTAGTGAAGAAATTTTGAACTTCAGCTCATTCCACGGATTTACAGATGGAAGTAACAGCAAGTGCACTATTAAGGACAAAAGGAAATGTAAGCTACTACACTTCAGCTTTTGAATTTATAAGGTTTTTGAAACCAAGTTTTGAAACCAATCAAAACTTCTGGTGTCATTTCTACTATTCAATTTAAAGTTGCTGCAGAAGTGCAGGTTAAAACGTTGCAACAGAAGATCTGTGATGGAGCAGTTCTGTCCAATTTGAAAGGAAGAGCTAAAATCACCTTTGCCTCATGAACTAGCCACAAAAAACAAACAAACAAACAAAAAAAAAAACTTCCAGAAAGTGCCTTTGTCTGCCACTACAGACTCCTCTTGTAAGAAGAACATTTTAAGTGTCTCCTTAACCTTTCATGTGGGATGGAGAATGATAGTACACAGCTGTGTAAGGGAGAATCAACTCCTACCCCATCATCTATTTGAACAAGATTTCGTGTAGTCATGTTACAGTTTAGAAACGTTCATATAGATGCCCTTACCTGACTTGTGGCAGCAACAAACTTCAGTCATTGTGTCTATTTTACTACTTGTCATGACCTGTGAGGTGATTTTCAGAATACTAACAAAGAACAGCTTTCCCTAACCACAAAATGGTATGCATTGTTCATGGCACTGGGAAATGATTCTCCAAAATAATAATGATAATAATGATGATGATGATGATGATGATGATGATGATGATGATGATGATGATAATAATAATAATAATAATAATAATAATAATGTAAATCTTTATTATAGGCAACCCAGCTAGAATTTTCAGAAGTGCATTGGTTATTTATACACAAGGGTCTTCAGGAAAATAAATGCCTTTTAAAGGTGAGATTTATAACTGTATTTACATTTTGTTTAGACTGGTAAACACCTTGTGCAAGAGGACTGCGCATCAAATGCTGGCTGTTTATGTTTCACTTGGGCATTATTTCATATTAGAGCTTGTCTGGTCCCATGGGCTGGATGATCATTAACGGTCAGAGAATGTAGGTGTGTATCTGCAGGCCATCCTTTAATTTGGTTTTGCCTGGATGTGATCTGGTTTCTACATAATGAGACCACTCTGAGATGTAAACTGAAACCAGAAATAAATGATGACCGGGAAATTTGCTTTAAAGGAGTTTCTCTTGTTTCAGCTCAAACACAGACATGCATGTGAGTACCTAACTTCCTGGTTATAACTGTCCTAAATTAGACTTGGTCCTCAGGCCAATTAATTTCAGAACAATCTTATTATTGCTTTTTAATTTTAATATTGGTTTAAGTTTATAGTAGTTGTAGGAAGCCTTGCCACAGACCCTTTGAAAAAGCCACTCTGAACTTTACGATTCTGAATGTTCCATTCCATTTAGTGTCCTTCTTAGCTGTGTGGTGATATCAGAATGATCTGTAGCTCGTAGCAAATATAAAGCACGTAATTACTCTAAGCCAAGGTTGTTGTAGAATTGACAAATTAGAGAAATGAGGATTCAGACAATGAGTTCTGCATGTCACACACAACATTTTTCTTCTGAGTTGTTATTCTTGACAAGAATGAAATTTTAGCAGATAAACTTATGACCACTACGGAAAACGGTAAACAAATACCCCAAAAAGTAAATTCTCATCTTTATATCTGCCAAAATGAATAAACAAGGCAGATTTAAATGAAGCACAGACCTGGCACTTGATGCTTTAATATTTTTTATCTGAAACTAGAATCTATGCCTTCAAATGGCTCCTTAATTCGCCCAAAAATGCCTAAAAGTCTTCAATGAGAAATGCTTGTATAAACAGCACAGCTAAAATCATGCAACACTCTATTAGGGTAAGACATAAGCCTGGATGAATATTTGCTTAAAAATACATATTTTTTAGATCATAAAATCTATACTTTTCCAAGCATTTAATAAGCTATACTAATATTCACACCATTATTTTTTTTTTCTTATATGTTAATTCTATACTGTCATCTCCTTTAACATACAAAATGGAGCCAGTCAGCTTTGTCTTCTCTTCACATCTGTCTAAAAGTAAAACAAAATGTGAAACAACCTTGTATTGGACAGACTTCAGTAGATCCTCTGTTTAGACCATCTAAGCATATGCAAGCCAAAATTGAGCTACTAGCCACAAACAAAAAGTTCAGATTTGTTTCACAGTCAAAGATCACACCTATTAAATCATAATGACATTTCTTGTTTCAAGTTGTGCCCATTCAGTTGTGTCACACTAGTCACTGTGTTCCTGGTATTACTTTTCAGGGAAGTCATCTGAACAGCAGAAGAGTTGTGCGAGTAACTGGCAGATCTCTCTTGCTGAGATTTCTTCCTGCAGCGAAGCTGGTTGTTGAAATGTCTTCTAAAACTCTCACTGAGAAAATACAGTGCAAATGGGTTGACACAAGAGTTGCAGAAGCTTAGTACTCGGGCGACTAAGGTAACAACCATATGACCTATTGATGAATCAATCTCATTGTAATTAAAAGACCGGTACATGTATAACACATGGTTAGGAAACCAACAGATAGCAAAGAAGCCAACAAAAACTAGAACTATTTTTGCCAGACGTTTCCGAGTTTCCATCTAAAAAGATGAAGAGAACCCAAATGAACAACAAGGAATAGAACTACTATTGCATATAACAGACAATTAAAACATGTAGCATTTCGCTTTATATTAACTTTAACAATTATCATAAGTAAAAATACTTCCTTCCAGGGCTCAGTTATTTTTGTATATTATTTACTTTCCTTCCCCATTTTCAGTTTATTTACAGAGAAATGTTCTAGATGTCTGCAGTTACTGAAGTTTGGTTTTCCTATGTGATATACTCAACAAGAGCAATTCATGACCCAAGTATGCATTGGTGTATAGCCTGAAAGCACGCACCGAAGGGTGCCATAAAATATAACATTTTCTGATGAGATGTCAGTACTTTGCTTGAAACTTAGCTTTAATTAGAAAGCTATTTAGAAACTGTTGGTTTTGAAATGTAGAGACATTGCAAGTCTGACACCTAGGGTTTTAGCTATAAGGTGCATCCCATTATTTTGCTTGAAATGACTCAGCTTGCACCTGTCTCCTAGGGAAATGAGTAAAATTTTGCATCATACACACTGAAGCATCTTAATTCCAGGGTAAGTTGAAAAGCTTGACCAATCTTCAATAATGACTTGAAAGAAATGTACCTTAATTGCAATTCTAAAGTATAATTGGATTACAATGTAAATATTTAGAGCGGTTGAAGAGCTGAAAGGAAATGAGCTACACAGTGGTTCCAAAACTGAAAGAGAGAAATGGGCCAGGTAGAAGGTACAAAAGGGAAGCAGGACCTTTCTATATATTCCTCTAAAATATTTACTATGTATGTCAGGTACCAAACTTTCCCAGAAAGGAAATTTTTCTGACTTTCCTCAATTTTCTGTCAAATGTGACCTGAACAATATCAAGTGTTTTTTTTTTAATAGGTTTTCAAAATCTGTGAAATAAATCTGTAAGTACAGTTTTCTCTGCTCCACATTAAAAAAAAAAAAAAAGTGAAGAGTTCTCAAAGGATGGAAAAACTCTAACATTTCAATTCTGTAGGATTTGCACTGTATATCAGATGGCAACAGTAGACTAAAAGGTATAGAGGTATTTTGTGAATATTAAACTTTTGTGCTATTGCCTAAAGAAACTTGAGTTGAAAACGATAGTCTGAATTTACTTTTTCTTGCTGAGAGATGTGGAAGTACACTGGAATTTTCTACTCTCCTGAGTCTCATAGATTAAATAAATACGTAAATAAATAAATAAACCTAAGTTGAATGATAAAAAAAAATTGAAAATACGTTTCAGAATGTGAGTTCAGAAAGGTGATATAAATTAAATATTTTTTCTAACCTGAGGGTTCAGCCAAATTCTCTCTATATCTCACAGGAAAATAAAATAGTACATGAAGTGCTAATATGCTTGCATTTTGACAAGAAACAGGCTAGAGTAGAAATGAACTGTTGAACAAAAAGGGCATGAGGGAATGCAGTTTTTCTTTTTCAAAGAATGTGTATGTTCTATATATGCAAAGAAGTCTCAGTGAGTAAAAAGGTGTTTTCTACAATATTGTCAGAGAAAACTCTTCCAAATTGTTTTAATGGACATAAGTATTTTTCTCTTTCAATACCAATGTGTTTGTAAACTGTTTGAGGTACTTTACTGCAAAAGCTGTGGTTCATATACAAATGTTCCTGCTAATGAACAGCCTGTTGAGATCTTACTGCCTGATACTCATTACAGGGAAGCTGGCTGTTAAAATGCTCTGTCTCAAAGGTGTACAGAATCTATACTGAAAGTTCTGTAGCAAATATAATAGAAAGGCTATTAAGAAAAGTTCAGTTGTTAGCTCAGGATTGTATCTAGGAAAAATCTACTCAGAAAGATAAAAAATAATCATTTCATGCTCTGTGTTGATATTTTCAGCACTCCTTGGTCTGGGAAGAACCTCAGAGACCCTAAGAAAATATTTACCTTCCTATGTCATTTTTTTTAAATTTCCAAGTACAAATAAAAGATGAATTCAGTAAGAACACAAGCAACAGTTACACTAGCAGCGCAAGCAGCACATACATATACATACACCAATCCTATTTCTTTTTAGGAATATGCTTTGATGGCATTGATTTTATGTTTTTCTTCATATTCATTTACATACTGGTCCTAATATTAATTAATTGTGAAAACAAGGAGATTTCTCAGATAATCCTGAGCTTAGCTCATACATGTGGAGACTGAATTAATCCTCTGCAAAAACCAACAATTTGGATGTTTAAGTTTTTGTGCTTTTTATAAGTGTACACAACAGATAAATCTTTCATTGGAAAGTAAATAGCAAACTGCTTACCTGTCTTTTGGAATGCTCGCTGTATTCTCCAGGGATGTTGTGGGCACTTTTTATTAAACTCTTTGCAATATGACAATAGTAGATACTAATAATGGTCAGAGGGATAAGAAAATAAACTAGGAAAATCAGCACAGAATGGATCTTCGGGTGCATGTCATCCTTCATGGGGTATGGTATGCATGCTTTGAAAGTGGCATTATCTGTGTTATTGATATGGGCCAGCTCAGAGAACACTGCTTCAGGAACTGCCAGGAGCATGGAGATTATCCAGATAGTAATGGCTTTAACACAGGTCCATAGCACTGCACTGGAGGTCTGGATGTCCATGGGATTTACAATTGCTTTGTACCTGAAAGTGATCAAAATGCAGATGCAAATTAATAGGTATATTTTTGTATGATGCATAAGGCCACTTCATACCTTTGGTTAAAAAAAAGGTCATTTTTTGTTCCTCTTTGAAACATCAAGGGGTGTGTAATCTTTAACAAATTTACATTTTCTAAATCTCTAAGCTTCCAGTTCATATATACCCATTAGAAGTGCCAAATGAAGCCTTGGTTGCAATCTGTGGCTGTAGGAGCCCATTCTGTGCCAGCCTTGTGAAAACACAAAAGCAGGCACCACTCCATTTTTCCTTTCCTGTGACTGTCCCAGTAAATCCCCAAATGCACAGCCTACCTCCATACTTACATCTGAGTCTCCTACCAGCACATTCGTGACAGGGTTTGTTTTCTTCATCAGCTCCTCCAGCCCAGGACTCCTGCCCTCCTCATTTCCACTCACAATATCAGTGCCACTCCACTAGCCCCCTCTTTGTTTTTTCACCTCAGGACCTTTGTATACGTGGATATACTGTCCTGACTGCAACACTCAGAATATAAGCCTCTTCAGGCAGGAATGACTCCCAGAAGCCTGGGCAGAAGTATTAAACTCTTAAATAAAGTAAACATTTTCACATAAACAGTTGGAAACTGCTGCCTCCACATTTTGGGAAACTGTCCCATAATATATGATTACACATAAACTTTGGGAGTATTGATAATTTCATGACCATTACAATGAAAACAGGAAACATTGCAGAGGAAGGAAATATCACACTACAGTAAAGCAAAATAATAGAAGTAGATACATGTTAGGAATTCTTCTATAAAAAAAAAAAAAAAAATGTTGCAGAAGTTGACACAGAGGGATACTTTCCACAAGAAAAGGTCTGTTTTAAAAGGCTAGATGTATTTTGAGAGAAATGTTTCAAAACTAACTTAATGTTTTGCTTATTTTTTTTAATTCTGATTTTGAAAATTATTTATTTTCAAAAAGTAAATTAATGTTTTTGCTTCTATTAAAAACTGAACATTTAATAAAACATTTCATTTTAATTGAAAAGTTGTGGAAAATTAGAAGTTTAGAAAATTAGAAAAAAAAATTAAAAATGGAAAATTAAACTCAGGAAATGGTTTCTGTTAATGCCGTAAATGCTGTTTAGCATTTCTTCTAATACACAGTGAGAAACTCCCTGGACACAAAGGTGTAAAGAAATCCTTTATACTGTCATAGCAAGGATAGAAACTTCTGCACAAAGCACAGTCTCCCCAGCATAAACTGTGACCTTGTTAGTCAATAATTTGCTTCCTATTGCTGTCTGCCTTGATTTCATTACATGAAGACAGACCTTCTATTTCATTTCATTCAACTTAGGTGACGTCAAGTCCTGCTCATTTCTTTTAAACTTTATATTGATGGAGAAGAGCTGGTTTGGGAATTTAGAGGGGAAGGGCATTGGATTAAATATATATATACGTGTATACTGTTTTGTACTAGAATATTTTTCTCTCTTTTTGCAATGCAGTGATTCATAGAATCAGAGAATCATTGAATATCCTGAGTTGGAAAGGACCTACAAGGATCATCAAGTCTAGCTCCACACACAACTGCCCAAAAATCAGACATATCTGAGAGCATTGTCCAACACTTCTTGAACTCTAGTTCAGGCTCGGTACAATGACCACTTCCCTGGGGATCCCGTTCCAGTGCTCAACCACCCTCTCAGTGAAGAACCTTTTCCTAACACCCAGTCCGTCCCTCCCCTGTCACAGCTCCATGCCATTCCCTTGAGTCCTGTCACTGTCACCAGAGAGCAGAGATCACTGTCTGCCTCTCCATTCTCCTCATACAGAAACTGTAGGCCACCGTGAGGCCTCCCCTCAGCCTCCTCTTCTCTCAGCTGCACAAACCAAGTGACCAGCCATTTCATGCTATTTTGACCACTTTGTGCTCTTTTGTCCTATCACTCAAGATAGTGACCTTGTCACAATTTATTGTTTAAGCAATATTTTGTCTGGTTAGTATCTAAATGGGAGACTTTTCAGAAGCCTTTATAATACCAAAAAAGGTGGCATATGTCTGTGCTTTCATAGATACTGCTGTTTCAGCAAATATAAAAAAAAAAAAAAAAAAGTAAAATAAATAAATAAAAACAGTTCAGTCCAAAAAATTTCAAACTTGTACTTTAGCTGACTAGCCAACTGCAAGACAGCACTCTTCTTCTAAGGTCTTGGTAGTCTGTGTCAATGGGAATAAAAAGACACTAAGCACTTTACAAAATCTACCATGTTGTTTATATCTCTGAAAAGATGTAGAGTAGAGACAGGCAACAGATGAAATCAAATATAAACTGGGTGAACTTAGAAGTGTTCCCAGAATGAATACCAAGCCTCTTTCTTTGTATAAAAACAACATAAGGCTAAAGCTTATCACCTACTGTTGAAATTAGAAAGTGTGTATTTTCTATAACTGATAAAACCAAGCAAGCCAGAGTAAGGACCAAATTATTTAGTCAGGTTAGTAAGCAAAATCCATCTTTTCCTTTACTTTACTGATGAAAAAATAAAATTATAGGTTGTCATGAGGATCAGGAAATAATTATAAGTATGCATTTGGTTTTAATTAAATGCTTTCATGTAAATTCTGTCTTTCTACATCCTCTGTTATTATTGCTGCTGACAAAGGCATCCCAATTCAGGAAACATTTTTATAGTGAGTTTCCTTTCTTTGGAGCTATGGTTTCTGCCAATGGACACCAGCAAAAATTTGCCCATTCTGCAAATACTATTTTTATTTGTATAGTGTTTTTTCACTCCAAAGCAATCTCTTCCCATACACACCCAAAAAAAAAAAAAAAATTATGAATCATGAAAGAAAGAATATCTTCTTCCTACAGAGTTATAACTTGTTGCTACCTTATAAACTGTAAGTATAGGTTATCTATTCCTCTCTATCTGTATATTCAAAGACCTTCATAAATGTATGTCTCAGTTCCCAGTTAGCATGTAAAGCTAACTGGGAAAAGCACTTGTCTGTACTGAGTCCATAATGCTATTCCCCTCTCATAAGAAGTTGCTTCATGGTTCATCCTAAGCCATCTCTCCATTACACTGTGACCTCTTTCTGTAGAGTGCTTTGCTCTGATGCCCTTCAAAAACACATTAATAATAATAATTAATTAATAAATTAATAACAGACAATACTTAAGAAGCCACTGGACTATAATTACAACTTACCATAATAACCTGGGTTATTTCTTTGTCCTCCCGTTTATGTATCTTTTTTTCTCTTACTTAAAAAAAAAATAAAAATAAAAAATAAAAAAACTTTTTGGTCAGCGACTTTCTTCTTCTTGTTCATAAAACCATGAGAACAAATGTAGAAGGTAATATATTATCAATCAGATAATATAAGTAAATCTGAATACAAAACAACATCTATTTCTCTTCCTCCTAATTGTTTTCAACTCTTTACCAAGCAACAGTTTCTAACTGGCTGAAGATAAAGTAGAAAGGGAATATATTCCTTCAAAAACTGCCATTTTCAAATGTTTGGTTCAACGATTGCAGCCACCTTCTACGTAAGGGTCTGTCTCCTCTCCTAGCGGTGCACTCATGCCTTGCTTGTGCCCTAGGCTGCTCTGAGTACTCTCATATACAAAGATATATAGTAGATCTTGTTATGGAGCTGGTTTACATGCTTCACTTCCATTTCTTAACTGCTGGATTAGATTGTTTATTCATAAAGCCCTCAAGCATACTAACCTCAAGCTTTCCAATGTTCTTCAGTCATCTGGAGTATCCTGTTTCAACACAGAAAAACAAACTGAAAATATCACTCTCTCTGTCTGTGATGTTTCTTTTCATTCTTGTTTCCCAGCTATGTCTGCTTCATGTAGCACCAGCCTAAGGAAATATTTGTCACAAAAATGCAATGCCAAAATTTTCCTAGTATTTCTGTCATTGACACAATTGGCATGTGTAGGTCTTGAATTCATACCACTAAAGACTGAGGGAGTAACTGAATACACAAGTAGAACCTTAAAACCATCTTATCTAATTGTACAAGAAAACAATTGCAATACTCACCAAGAACAGTGATTTTCATATTAATCTCTAAGAAATGTCTTTTTAAGTTTCACATTCTGCAGAGTCCATCAGTCTGACAGAATGAAAACCCCCAGTTCTTCAGTTTTCCATAAACCTCAGCCTTCAAGTTATGTCCAGTAGTTGTCCACTCCACTAAAGTAGAATGAAGTTTTGCATGGGGTCAAATCCCTTTCCCTAGTATTGGCAGTTCTGTTGACAAAATAGTTGATCTTTAAAGAGCAGAACAATATAACTAGTTGAGAAAAAGATGGAACCATTTGGTGTCCAGTGTTGTGGGAACATCTTTGATAACATACAAGAAGTCTGAGATTATCGAGTATTCTGTTTTATTCTTTTTACATTTTTGCAATTTAAAGTACATATATATGTATATATAATTAGTGCTAACATTTTTGTTCTTTGTTTATCTCTTAAGTGCAGAGAATTGCATTCACCAGGAATAAGGTCTGATAGCTTAGTATAATAAACAGTGCTTGAAGTGAAGACTAGCAGACCATATATAAACACAATTCAAATGAATCTCAATGGCATGTGCTCTGTATCTCTCAGGGGTAAATTCCTAAGATTTTTTGAAGGGGAAAGATTTTTCCACTCTATAGAAATGCACTCTTTTGAAACAAAAACTGTCAGTAATACTTCAACAAAAAGTCTTATTTAGCCTTTTGAATGATGATTTAGAAAATAATGAAAACAGAAGATTCTCAGGATGTTGGAGGGTTTTTTGTTTGTTTCTGTTTTTGTTTTTCCACATGAAATATGACTTGCCCTGTCAAATCAGCATTTCAGATGAGAGTGTTGATTTTTGTCTGTTTTATCTTTATTTTTAATTTTCCCATCTCTTGCTATTTCTTTCTCTTGCTACTCCCCTCACATTAGGTAGCTATATTTATTATGACCTAGTACAAATCCTGCAATGATA